ACGAAAGCTGTTAGCATTCGTCACACGTTACAGATGATATGAAAGAGGGTGGTGGACTGAGAATTACTTACAAGGGAAAATCGATGGTTGATCAATACTGCTTCAATTATTGACAGCAAACTTACTCCGGTGCAGTGCGTATATGCTCACCGTTAAAAAAATTGCAAACAAATAGACAAGCAACAGGACAAACGGTAACCGGGAAAGTAATTTTTACATTTTTATGGCAAGTTAAGTGTTGCGCTAATTCTAAAGCATCACGGCATGCATGAAAGGCACCGAGGCAAACTAAATCCTTCAAAGAAATTTATAGATGTATATATGCATTAAGTTGCAATTTCTCCAACAGAAATCGAAAATGTTTGAAGTAATACAGTATGGGATGTGACGACGACAACATAACCGTAAAAAACTAGCAAAAAACTCGATTAACGCAATTACATCATCTATTCGTCGGCGCGTAACGACCGCGATCAACATTCGTAGGAATACGTTTAAAACCTGACGCTCTACGGCCCACACAGCCATCTCCCTCTCTCTCTCTCTCTAGCTATCAGACACAGTGGTAGAAATGAACTTTTGAACAAGGAAGTCCAACGGACTCCCTACCCTCAAAAAGTGGGAGTCCGCAGCAAAATGAGGGAGTCCGCAGTCTGAGGTTCAAAATTAAGAATATTAACAATAATGCATGTGCTTATTTTTAAGATTCATGCGGTTGCACGTCTGTCAAATTTTCGTTGGACATTAGCTAAAAAAATACAGTAAGTCTGCAAGGCCGTGCTCTGGAACGAACTAATTAGTAATAGTATGGCAGAATTTTCAGGGAGTCGCACGGACTCCTGCATATGTCGAATCAGGGAGTCCGACAGTAAATCAGGGAGTATTTGACATCGGACACCCGTTAATTTCGTACCCTGCAGACAGATGCACTTTGGCAATAAAATGAACGTGTCTTCGCGATTATGTCGCGTAGGAAATGTGTGGCGGTGAGATTCCCGCAACATTTGCTCGCGAGAGCGTTGTCGGCGGCCGATGAATCGATGCGGACGCGACGACGATCACTGCAAGACTTCGCACGACTGAACGCCGTTTCAGCTGAAAGCTTCCTAAATTCAAAGTACCGGCAGCTAGGCGTTATCTGGCACGAGAGAGAGAGAGAGAGAGGGAAAGAGGGGGAGGGGAGAAAGAGAGAGA